GATACGATCGTGAAGTAAAACAAAAATTTTTCCATTAATTAGAGGACCAGGATTTATGCAAAAAACTAAATGTAATAAACAAAAAGAGGTAATAATGATCTGTTATCATTAATAAATCTTGAAAAGATGATTTCTTATATTGTTAGATTTTGTGTAATTCCAAGAATTTATGATATACAATAATACACATTTTTGTTTTACTAATAAAAACTTTGTATATAAAAGAGAATTTAAAAAACAAAAACAAAAAAAGCTAAAAAAACCAAAAAGAAATTAGTATATTACATTTTTAAGGCATTCACATTTTTAATGACTATATAATGCTGTTCGACATGTTTTTTCAATAATTATTCTATCTGAGATATGGGAGAATTAAAATTGTTTTTATAAATGAAGACCAGCTTCGGAATAAAAATATTTACAATGAAATAAAATATGTTGAGATTAATTGCATATGACTGCAATTGGATTGAACCAAATGCTATGAAGATATATTTAACGTCCAGTAAAGATAATATTTGGATGTACATGATTTTCTAAAATATTGAACAAAGAAAAAAGTAATATTCAAAACTCAAATATTTTTTTTGACTTTGACAATGAGTCAAAATTAGAACAATAATAAAAAATAATTGTTTTTACCAATTAAGCAGCGTGGTCGTTCTGCAGGCATCCATCTTCCGTGATTACATGTCCAACCTGTTGGTCCAACCAACGTATAATCTACACAAATAAAATGAATATAAATTAACAAAGTTTAAAAGAAATAAAAAAAACGTTTTACCTTGATTGCATTCAAACTGTATAGTTCTACCGTGTCCAACATTGGGTATGTAGGAACGAAATTCACTTTTGATTGGAAGTGCAGGGATACGATCGTGAAGTAAAACAAAAATTTTTCCATTAATTAGAGGACCAGGATTTATGCAAAAAACTAAATGTAATAAACAAAAAGAGGTAATAATGATCTGTTATCATTAATAAATCTTGAAAAGAAAAAGTATATTTTCATAGATCTTACTTGGTGAACAGCGAGGAGGTTGAACTGGTGTCCATTTGCCATGATGACATGTTAGTTTATGATAATTATTTTCAATTCTGTATCCGGGAAAACATCGGTATCGAGCCACGCTACCATGATATGTGGATCGAAAAACAGCTCGTCCATTCAAAATTGCTGGTGGATGTTCTTTACACGATACTAAAAATCCAAAAATTAAGTTAAACAGTAATTTCAAAATTTTTTTTATAAAAGTTTTCTGTCTTGTAATTAATACTGAATAATCTGAACAGCATAATTTTTAACTAGATGCATCTTTTTTCACAGAATAGGTTAACAGAACATGAATGTCAACGATTACTTACCAGCACAACGTTGATCATGTGAAAATTGACCACCTTGACAAGTTTTATTAAAACTAAATAAATTAGGTGATTGCAACATCATTTTTGGCGTACTAGTTGTACCAACAATGTTTTGATCAAATAAAGGATCCGATGTGATAAAAACATCTAAAACTAGAGCAGTATATGTGTCATACTAAAATATTACATAAAGAATTCGTTTCTTACCACGCTGACTGCAAGTTGGCTTCTCCGATAAATGTCCATTTATACAAATGATTGAAACATTTGTTTGAGGAACACTGTTATTATCATAGCATGAATAATAAACTCTTTCATGATGTCGAACAGATAATTTCGTAAATTTAATATTTGTGTAATTCATCAGTAAATATAATTTACATCCTTTAAAATAGAAAAACATATTAATCATTATCAAAAGTCAATTAGACACATTACCATTAAAACATATTGGTAATCGAGGGATGATAGATCCATTTCTACATGCTATTTTGCCTCTTGATGGTGTCTTTGATGGAGGACAAACATATTCAAGATATTGTCCATCATTAATAGACTGTATAGATGGATGAAATTTTGTATAACGTGCACCCACTGGAAGTTCGGGAACAGGACATGTGTTAAAATCTAAAATAAGAAAATAATTCTTTTTTTTAGCTTCTTGTTCTTGCTATTAAAGTATAATTACATACTTTCACATCTTGGAATAGACGGATTCCAACCATTATTCGTGCAAACAGCAGTCGATGAACCACGTAAAGTATAATTAAATGGACAACGAAACATAACGGTTGAATTGAGAAGATAACCATTATTAACGAGTTTTTCTCCGACGGACTCAATATAACCATTAAATAATTTTTTAGGATCAAAACAACTGAATACTGAAAAAGTATAAAAATTAAGAAATTTAATTAGTAAATTAAAGATTAAATTGACTTACGTTTGCAGTTAGGTGGATAATGATCCCAATTACCACTTGAGTCGCATGTTAGTCTAGAGTGTCCATATAATTGATATCCGTTCATACAAGAATATTCAACTGACTCATTAAACATGACATTTGTTAATGATCCTTCCTTGCTGCTGACTAACATGTAACTATTATTTACAAATGGTGATGTGCCACAAGATTTTCCTAATTGAATAATAAAAATGAATAGTGTTTATTTAAACATAGAATGATCGTGAGTGATTCTTCAAAAAAATTTTGATAAAAAAGAGATAGAAACCCGCAGTTTCCGTTATTTGATAATCAAGACCCATACTCATATACTATTAGAAAAAGAAGTCATAATATACCATCGACGATGTCTATTGTTGCGATAAGAAAAAATAATGGAATCATGATCTCTACCGATTAGTTTAACGAGTAGACTATCATCTAATGACTTAGATAAGTTCGAGATCATCTGCTGATATGATTTTAAAACTGAAATTGCGTTAGTCATACATAATTTTTCAAATCTTCAAAAGCTGACTTTTCGGAAAAACGTTTTACTCTTGGATAAAAAAGCAAACCCAAGAATACTTTCAACAACATCAGAAAATAGAGAAAACATTTCTGATCAAAATGAGATGTTGCTGAGCTCCGACTGATGTTTTGATCAAGAGTATATATATATACATAGCTTTTCGGCCTAGATTTGTGGTTACAAAAATATCTTTATGTAAGTTAATGCGACTTTTTCGAATTTTAGACTTTTGACGCTGACCATTAGTTTGAAAAGTATATCACTAAAAATCCGACTCTATTAGCCTCTAGCCACATGTGTTTTCGTCAACTTAAGATCAGTCCAAGGTCTCTACAACGTTTCGTTACTAAGAAATCTTGCAGCTACGAATAGCCCCATTTTGGTCACTGTTGTGGCGACATCTCACAAACCATGCGCGATGGAACCAAACAAAAATTTCGTCACCACACTTTCACAAGATTAGCATCTTCTAAAAGTTTGGTCAGGATCTGGTGTATACTTTCAGAGTTAGTTTTCTGATGGGGAGGGGGGCGGCTAAGAAATTTTCTGAAAAGCCCCATGGAAATCCGTTTTTGTCTAACGAATGACGAAAACTACCAATCTCCATCTCTTTTCTATCAAAAACCATTAAAAAATTAATTCTACTTTTGATACAGACAGTAATAATCGTTAAAAGAGATCAAAATCTATTTTACTTTCACATCGCGGTATTGGAGGCAACCAAATTCCGTTTTCATTACACATTGATATGGCACGTGTTGTTGCATCGCCAATCAAATCAAATCCTTCATTACAAAAGAACGCAATCATATTGGGATAATCAAATCGTTCTCCTGTCATGTAACCATTTTTTAATTGACCTGGAGAGCCACAATTAATTGCTAAACGAAGGAAAAATATCGTTTGTATTACAAGAACTATAACTTCAAAATCTATACTCACGATTGCATTTCAGAGTTATAGAAGTCCATTGACCAGTGAAAGTACACGTTGCGTTTAAAGTACCTTCTCTATTATTAGAAAAATATCTTTCAATATAAAAAAGTTTGATTATTTTCATCAATTTTAATCAATGGACTTACCCTACATAACCATTAATACAATTGTATTTAGTCGAATATCCAACATGAAATGTGGTAACAGTACTCGGTGCATCATTAGCAGCATTTAACACTTCTGGTGGATGTCCACAAACCACTAAAATGAAATACATTTGAAAACATATGCTTAAAATTTATTATATTTAATAAAATGATCAGCATGCAATATGTATGTTATCGATTACACAGCATATATACTAACCACAGTATATTGACTAATTATTCAATTGAGTAAAATTTCTCTTTTGAAATAGAATCGCACTCTTTGTTCTTTCTTTTTCCGTCTAGACATTATAGTGTATAGTCTTATGATGGAGAATCATGTGATCATTAATAGCTCTGATAATGATATAATGTTTATTGTTTGACTGAAGGCTAAAAAATCTTTTCCTATTTTAATCATTATCATATAATTGAACTTTGTCTTATATTGGCTTGATCAGTTTATTTTTTTTGACTTTTAATCTAAAAGCCTTGTCGAGACACCAGTAAGATGATGAGTAAAGAAAACATTTTGATTCAAGTTTCTAATCCTAAGAAGGTTAAACGTTATTGCATATTTTTATTCTTTTTTTTTTTTTTTTTTATCACTTCGTGACCAAAATGTTTTGAATAAATTGTGGTTGATAACATCTGTATATACAAAAGAACGAATCAAAATAAAAATAATTGAAATTTAATCAACATTGTACGGATGCATACAATGACACAATATTAATTCAAAGCACGTATTTAACAAGAATTGGATGATTTTTAGTTGGTATTATTCTAACATGTACATATCATGAACACTTTTTGTTTGTTCATCAATTGAAGTTTAAAAAAAATATAAAGAATTTTGCTTCTTGTAAAGAAAAACTAATTAATTTTTTTTAAATTTACACTCTAGTGCTTGATGATTAACTTTAGTGTTAAATATGATAAAATCATACCTTCTTTAATACAATAGGGAACATTGTCTGATGGACCCCACCACATATCGCCTTGACAGTGACGAATTTTAGCACCTTCCAATACATATCCCATGTCACATTCAAATGTAGCTCTTGAACCAAATTTGTTTACATTTGAATAGATAATTCTACCATGATCCGGTGGGGTTAAATAGGGACATGTTACACCTATATAAAATTCAATTTTTTAATTTTTAATTTATTAGAAGTAAAAGTAGAATTTCGTACCACGTTTAACGCATGACAAACCGCAGTCAAAGTCACACATACAAGATCTATAACGACTTCGACAATCGCTGTCATCGAAACATGATTTAAAACATTGTCTATATCTTGTGGCGTCTCGTTTTCGTGGACAAAATGAGAGGTCACGAATCCAGTAGGCTAAATAAAAAATTAATAATCATTTTTAACATTGAATATAACTTTTGAATAAAAAACAAAAAAAAAATATTTAGTTAAAAATTTTGTTTTAGAAGCCATATTATGATTCTATGAACTAGATTGACATTTTTAAAATTTTTGACATTGCTAGACTAATAAATAGATTTACTGTAGTGAGACTCATGATTAATTAATCAAGTACCATAGACATTATTCTCAGTTAACCTTGTTTCAAAAGTGAATAAATAAAACAATCATTGTTCTCAAAGAGAGATTTTTCTTTTTCTTTTTTTTTTTAAATTATACATTTAAATACATGCACGCACATACTCCCATTGAATCAAAGTAGATAAATGTGTCAATATTAAAAGCTCCTCCCCTTATGTCAAATGGATATTTATTATTTTAACCTTAATTCACAGAGCATAACTAGTGTATTCGATGATGGTCCAAAAATAAAGATTATAATCATGTGTATATCTGTCCAGCAGAGTTTGTCATGATGAAATCTTAAAAAAAGATTTGTCATGAATGAACATTCTGTATATACACATACACACACACACACACACACACACACACACATTGCTATTTTAGTAATAATAACTTTGTATTTTTAATTCTCAAAGGGATATACAATTCTTTTTAAAATGAACAATTTAAATCTTAAGAATATGGCTATTTTATTTTCCCTAGTATCTCTGATGTTTCTTTTTTCCTGAAGAAAAAAAGCGAGTGTCTAAATTGTAGAAGAAACCCTATTGTAGTCAAAAATTCAAATCTATACTCTTAAAGACTTATTGAAAAACAATTGTTTCTACCTTGAATATTGATAATAAATATAAAATATAGAAAAAGTATAATTAACAATTTTTTTTCTTCCATTCGTGATTTAATCGTTTTTTATACGAATTATCCATCCCAGATACATTTAAATTCGTTTGATTGTCATATTTTTCTCATCATAGTTGTTCCATAATTTAACACTAATATGATCTTTTAAAATTTGTTTAATCTGAAATATGTACATAATATATTTTATCGTATAAGAAGAGAGAGAGAGAAGATGTTGATTAACTATCACTATACTGCTTAATGAAAAGATAACTATAGATTTGACAATTTACAATCAAAACTGTTACAAAAAATATCAAGGTTATGAAAATAGAGTAAATAATATCCGTAAATAGTATTGAATGTCATTTTACTGAATACCAAGAGAACGTGTGGCCTTAAATTCCACTTTGTATATCCTTCAATGCTGTAAAAATTTTCTCTTACCGTTAGTGACCATGAATCAAAAACATTTCTCATTCTACCATACCATGATCTAATTAGAGATAGTCAATTTTCATTAAAATACATTAGTTATAAAACAAAACTATTATAATTATGCTGTCGCATTATTCAAATAACAGAAGAGAAAAGAAAAAGAGAGAAATATAGTTCTTCTTTAAATCATATTTAACTTAGATAGGATGATTATTTAAATAGTTGGGTTGCTGTTGTTATTGTCTTTTTATAATGACTCGATTGAACTATATAGTCTATGATGAAAGAAAGAAAAAAGAAAATAATGGACGATTAGACCATAAAAACTTATTGTCCCGTGTGTAACTATTGAGTTAATTAAAACATATTAAACATCTATATTCGAAACACTAATGATTTCTATCATTATGTAATAGATCTGATTTTATTTAATATACAATGAGACATTAAAGAAATATGAGTTTATGTAATAATTAAAAAAAAAAATTATTCAACATCATTCTCATATCTAAAAAGCTCAACGAAAGTCTCAAATGTAATCAGAAAATATTGTTTGAAATTAAAATAGAAATTTTATCCAAAATTTTTCCTCTAGAGTGATTACTCTTTGTCCAATGATATTTATATACGAATAGGCGGTACGTTCAACTAATCCTATATAACAATCATGAGAAATCTTACACTTCTAGTGACAAACAATGACTTATAGTCAAATAGACGTTTTAAAACGGATTTATAAATAGTCAAAAAATAAAAATCTCAACTATTAAAAAGTCGACTACTTTTTTTGTGCTAAAATATTTACATTAAATTACAAATGAGTATATCTATATATAGAGAGACCAAATCGACAATTTCATTATTCAGTTCTATTATACGTTTGTTCGTCTCAAAAATAGTCTTGTATAATGAGAATTATGAAAGTTCTTACATCAATTTAGTCTATTATCTTCTTTATTTTATTGAACAATACATCAGTTAAATTAGAATTTTTATTCAAAAATGATAAAACAATCAATAATTGACCTTGAAAATTGTCAATTATCAATGAGAGTTAATCATCATTTAGAATGTATTTTATTTTGCTATTGTATAGATACTAGTTATGAAATATCAATTATATCCATTAAACATTTTACACTATTACAATCAACCATTATAAATTAAAATATGCTTTCTTATTGTATAGAAGGAGAAGGAGAAGAAAAAAAAGACAAAACAAAGTATGAGAAGAAGAAAAAATGTAGAAATTAGTAACAAAATCATTACCGTTCAATGAGACAATTGCAAGACTATTTCAATTATTAACGATGATGTAAGAATGACATAATTTGATGATATGATAGTTTAAAACCAACTTACTTAAAACTGATTAATATTTCTATTAGTCATGTCAAATCAGATATATGTAGAAATAAAGCATCCAAAATAGATGAACATTTTATTCGTGAAACATACAATTTAAACACTTAAAATAGTGTTAGTATTCGCTAATCATAAATATAAGTTCGATTACAAATTTTTTATATTGGTATAGTGAATAACATTACTTACATCTTTTGTTTTTCTCTAGAGAAATTCAAATAAGAGATATTGAATGAAATATTTGCATTGTTTAATGAAAGTATACACTTACTACTACCGTATATAGTAATTGATCGTTTCACACCAAATATTAAGTAACTTTGTGTCTTAAACAAAAAGAGCTGAGATTACGAAAAAGAAGAACAAACTTTTTTAGAAAATATATTAATCTGTGAATAAAATGGTCAACTGTTGAAGATGAAGAAAAAAAGGCAAAACACAATTTATATGTATAATTTCTGATGCGAGATATTGGTCGATAAAGAGAGAGAAAGAGAGAATACTATATACTGTGTTGTGACAGAAATAAAGAAAAAAAGCAAATTATATCTACACTCTCATTTTTTTTCTTCTTCTCTATGTATACTAAAATCGGAATTCGATGTTCTTGTTAAGAAAATTTTTTTTTTGAAAATAGCTAAATATATCGGTGGAGATTATTCACGTTAGAAATTCAATCTTCTTTATGAATTGATGGGAAAAAAAAGAGAGAAGAAACTAGGGTAAAAAGAGTATTGTATAAAAATTATATAATTCTTCAATTGTTTTCGTTCCAAAATAAAAATAAAACTCATCAAATTGTTTTTTTAATCTTAAATAAAAGATAACGTCAACTATGGTAATTTAGTTCATCTCTACGCCAAAAGTCTTCATGATAAATATTCAATTATGTAAAATGTTTTATCATATAGGCATTGTTGAACTTCCTATTCTACATAAATGAACAGTCAACAATTTGATAGATGTTTGTGAAAAATAAAATAATAAAAAATCGTTTTATATTACATTCTTACATTATTTAAACGTATAAGAAGATGAGAGACAATATCAACAATGATAAAAAAATTTGATACACATCTATTGCCTTTAATTTCAACTACAGTCACCTTTTCTTCATCTATTACTGCCATCGACATTTGTTCTTCAGTATATTAGATAATACACCTAATGATCATACAACAGCAAGGCCATTTGTAAAAGACTAATAATCTACTTTGAACAATTGTTAGTGTTATCTTAACGTGTGTAATTCTTGCCTTCAAGCATAACACCAACGTTCATTAATCGCGATTATAATTATTTTTTTTTTCTTGAACAAACGACTCTATGATGACATAATCGTGAGAAAAGTCAACAATACATATATATATATAATCAACTAATTATATATACCTGAATCGATTTCCGAATAGATTTTGTTTGTCTACAAGGTATATATGTAAAGAATAGTTGTTCCATAGTAGATTATATTCTAGTAGAATAACATTGTTCTCTTACATTATACTACCAAGTCATTGTTTTCAGGGTATACAATTATGTATATTTAGTATCACTTGAACATTCAATGATGCGCATTGTTGTTAGCCCTATATATGTACATATATATATAGAGAGATGTTCAAAACATTTACTTTCTCTAGTGCCATACTTGTGATATTATTCTTTCAAAATAGTTTATTGCACAATTTTCTCTTTCTTATTATCGCAAAACTCTTTACAAGACATCAAACGAACATATAAAATCATTTAAATATCGAATTTTTATGGTGCGACGACGTAAAAAAATCTCAGACAAGAACTATAGTAATATCTCTCGATATTGATTTATCTTACTATGGATAGAGAGAGAATATGAGCATTTTTCATCATATTAATAGAACTTCTTTGGAAATAATTTGATGAAAACGCTTCTTTTTTTCTCCCTTTTCAAATTACCTTACCAGGAAACGCCTCGAAGTGTTTATTTACAAATTTATATACAAATTTATTTATTTTACTTTCGAAAATTTCCTGGTTTCTAATTGACTATATTTTCTGATAGAGAGACATTACTCACATCAGCCAACTATACAGTTTTGCAGAAAAACTCTTCACACAACTATAATTTGATATGTGTCCTAGGTTTTGCATCATGCATTTATTCTTCAAGAATTAGAAAGGTTTGAACCATATTTGAGCAATGTGAGTGTTGTCTCTATCAGAATATATGGTCGATTGAAGACAGAGAAGTGTTGGATTGTCCTAACTCTGCAACCATTCAACAGAAGTAAAAAAATTATAAATCATGATAAGCAAAGTTTATTTATTTCATCGAATCTCACGGGGATACTTGAGAATGTACCCTTGATAGTGTAACGCAATGAGGAAAAGAGTATCTGACTACTTTGATTCTAGTGAAAATCAGAAAAGTCTTACTTCCAGAATAATCCATTTGTCGTCGGATGAAGTCAGAAAGTGTTATTATTAATGAATACACTTCGTTCTATTCTCTGCATCAAGGTTAGATATCGAACAAATAATTATTATATTTACTTATTTAACAACGAAAGAATCCGTACAACTCGACTTGAAACAATTAAATTGCTACATTTCTTTCACACAATTATATAATTGGTTCTTGGGTTGAAGTTGTACAAGCGTATACTCGTTTTATAGACGAACATTTTTCACAGTGTAGATGTATGAGAGGAGACACCTCATATTACTTTTTGTATCTTTTTTTCCTACATTAATATAAATTCCTTATATAAATAGAATATGTTTTAAACTAAAACTAACGGGTTTCAAGGACAAAATATATCGCCATAAAGTTTCTAACTTATAATATGAATATATACTTAATAGTCCATTTGATATTTACAAATATCAGTTCATCGTTGTACAGCGGTGTACAAGATGTTCAAGACATAAAATTGATTAGCAGTACTGTTACTGAAGTTCTATATCCAAATATCGTATCATGTTATCCGATAGAAACATAAAAAAATATTTGATTTTACAGTAACATAGACTCCTTTTATGACAAGCAGTGCATTGTTGAATTGAATAAAGAATTTTGAATAACATGCTAATTATTTCACTATATTTTGGTAGTATGTACCAATAAACCATAACGGTTATGATATCCGCACTATAGGAAAAATGTGGATCCGTATAAGTTGCTCGGAATCAAGTTACTCAATCATCCAACGGAGATATTGTCTCTTGCGACGACATTCAATCATTTAGTTTCGAGCCTTCATCAAAGACATCGAAATCGATTGTCTAAGTAAACTTTTGAGCTCTATCATAGAACAAAGAGGTGAATGAAAAGATAGATCAGAGAACATTCAATATGTCCTGTTGTAAGGCACTTATTGGCAGAACACATTTCAGAGTATTTTCGATATATTGTCTTACAAGACATTTATAGAAGTGCCCCTGTAGATATGTCCATGCAGATTGATAACGCGGCATTTCAAATGTGTCCCTCTCACACATTATTATGCTGCAGAATAAGGGTCTGATTAAATGAAGTGTCGCAGTACATCCATCTATGGAAGAGAAGCATGCATGTAATCAAACGTTCACGAGTTTCAATAGTGCATAATACTGCCGGTGAGTACGGGCAAAAGTACTCATAGAAAAACTTTTCAAAGAAAACAAAATACGAGCAGATATGAAAACGAGATTTTTAGAATCCTAACAAAATCCTATGATATCCTAATGAAATCAGGAGTAACCAAAAATCGTAGGATTTACTAGGATTCTGTTAGGTTCTTTTAAGATCTATTTAAAAACAAATCTAAACGAAATCCTAATAGAAACCTAACATCTAAGATTCTACTAGGAAGTTTTTACGAAATCTTGAATATTACGATCAAGCTTAATAGGAAATAAATAGGAAGTACGCAGGATTTTGTCTAGGAATGTAAATTAATGATGAATAGCTGATTAGATTGCGACATTTCAGCCTTCAACAATGATGATGTAGTATTCGATGAACTATTGATAAAAAACATTTACTCCATGTTTAGTGAAGTACATTAATGTTATATTTCCAACTTAAAAACAACTGGAACAAAACTATAATTAAACAGTATATGTTATAATTTATTTTGAATATAAACATCAAATTTATTAATAAGTTGACCTAGAATCAACGTATCTTATTATAGTACTGGAATCAAAAACAATTTCCACACAATTATCGAAGAGTAAGTGTAACTGTGTCTTGTCGTATCCAGTAAGCTTCTTCGGCTAATCTGATGTGTTTTCTGTATTATATTATGGTATCCAACATATCTTCAAACCTGCTGCTGCCGTTAATTGAGAATAGTTTAAAAGGAAATTTATGTGTTCATATTTACAGTTCGTCAGTTGTGTATGATCTAACAGTTTGTTCTATTTGCAAACATTGTTCAGTTAATCTTAAACATTTGTTTCTATTGTCGAAAGAAGGTGAAATATTAATTGTGTCAAATGCCAATTTTAAAATCAAAATGTGTAGGCAAAAACAATGAAAGCATTTCTAAATAACAGAAAAACAGTTTACAAAGATGCCAGTGAACCTCGGAGCCTAGAGGTTTTCGAACATGCTGAAGCTATTGGTGATGTTAGTTTTCTTTGGTTTTGACTTTCATAATGTGATTTTGGAAAACCTGGATTTTGAGCTGATAAGTTTTGGGAGCATCTTTATCAACAATTCAGTGATAAATGAAATTCTCTTTGAATACGCTCATTGGATAGAGCAAATTTTTCTTGATCTAAAAACGTAGTTTTGATTGAAAAATTAGCTTGAAGGATTTCTAGAAGATCTTTAATGAAAAACCAAGGTTTTGAGAGATTTTCTTTAATAAACTTAGATGGTATGTTAAATTTTCTTTGATATTCGCTTTGAACTTGTTAAACCATGTAGTTTAAACTTATAAGGCGACCGAAACCAGACCCAATTAGTAAAAGGTTTTCTATTAGGTTTCTAGAAAATCTTTGGAAAACCGTCGATCGAAAAAATAGAATTTAATCAAAAAGTAATGTTTTATCTGACAGATAAAACAATCATTTTATTAGAAACCTAAAACCCAAACTTTCTGTCACATCACCATTGCTGATAAAGCTGATTTTTTGGAGACCACTATAATTTTTATCATTCATTACATTTTCAAATGTCGAAAACACGCAGAAACATAGGTTATCGACTACGTGGATTATCATGGTAACGTTGGTTCGTTCTTGAAGTTCAACTGACGTTGAATCTAAAGGTGTGATTTTTCACTGGAATCAAGCCAAAGTGGTACAAGTAACATCCGATAGGATGTGAAGAGTTACGCTAAAACAAATGTCACCACAATAATGTTTGTCAACTCAAAATCCAAATATCCAGAATCACATTATGAAAGTCAAAATCAAAGAAAACTAACATCACCATTAGATTCAGCATGTTCGAAAACCTGCAGGCTCCAAGATTTAGGTAATCGGTATACATTCGCTAGAAACTACATCGATTTTTCTCTTATTTGGAAATGCTCTCATTAATCCACGGTTCAAAATATTGGAAAATGCATCTAAGTCAATCAAGTCTATGCTCTGCTACATATGTTTATCGACAAACTAAACTTAGTACCTCTGTAACAGAATCTTGGTAAGAAACAAAAAAGAGAGATTACCAGATGTTGAATAAGAACCATTTCAAATAAAGTCTTAGTTTTTATAAATTTCAAAACAACCATTATTGTTTTTTGTGATGAAAACACAATGTTTAAAGTTGTTTTTGGACGAAGATTACAACTAGATAGACTCCGAAGTTAGAAAATTACAGCAGTTTCAAAATAATTCTTTTTCGTTGTATTCAACAATTTGCATATGACAGTAACACACAGACAATTTTGAAAAAAACTTAAAAAATCAAAAAATATTTTCTATTATCCTTTGTTAACAAACGTATAGAAGGCATGCTGCAACGTAACATGTCGATCTAAAATAAATTAAACGGTTAATATTTCATATAACAATATTTTACCCTCATTACCTTCAACACACATCGGCAGTTTATCTGGTCTCCAAATGCCCGACAAACATGTAGCACCTTTATCGCCGATTAATGCATAACCTATTTTATTGTAATATAGATGATGATGACATTAGACTTCAATCATATCCTTTTTTATGGCATTACCCTGATTACACTCATATTGAATTGATACACCGTGTCTCAATGAGATATTAGGTGTCATATCGTAACGAGATGAAGCAAAGTTAATAACATAAATTTTTCCATTTTCGATGACACCCGGATGTTGACACGTTCCTAATAGTAAAATCGCTATAGTGATATAATTAGTTTTCTTCAAAGATAATTAACAACAACCTGCTATACATTGTATGGTGTGCTGTTGTTCGTACGGTGATTCCCAACGTCCATATAAACAACGCAACCTTATTTTGTTATTCAACTTATAACCATTTCTACACTACAAAAAAAATTATTGAGTAACATTTGATATTAGTAAGACATCAGTTTAGTTATTTACAGTATAGTCAGCATAACCGCCGTGTTGTCGACTGCTATACTTAACATATCCATTTTTGATCCAATATGGATGAGTACTACAGTTTTCTAAAATACAGTTTGGAATTCAAATACTGATTGTAATAATAAGACAGACAATTACTTGGTTCGCATCGAGGCCAATCGGTCAATTGTCCATTAAGACATGATACATTTGTCACTGGGGCATAACCTGTCACGCAGATATAATCAAAATATTCGCCTTCTTTCAATAGAATTCCCGCTTTTTGACGTGGAGGAAGTGTAACACTATTTTCTTCTGTAGAAGGAGGATTTTGATCCGTAAAGTAGGGAATGTTAAATGGGATTTGACAATTTTGTAAAGCTGAAATAGAATGTATTATTACTAGTATCGATCCATCTATGCATATTTTTGTATACCTTTATAGCATCTCGGCGTTCTTTCACTCAACATTCCATTATCACAACGAATAGTTTTCTCTTGTTGACATTCATTTTGTACCGTCTGTGTTTCACTGCAATATTCTCTTTCTTTACATTGATATTTTACTGTCTGATTGTGTCCAATGTAACTACCCGGCATTAACAAATGTTCTTTTCCATTAACACTAGTAGAATATTTTACGACACCATCGCCAAAATTTGGTATTTGACAATTAGCTAAAATATAAGAAATCTTCAGCAATTAACTCAATCATTGAATTGTACAGAATCATATACGCACCATAACATTTAGGTAAACTTGGTATCCATCTGCCATTTTCTGCACAAACAACATAAGTTATGGGTGGGATCATTTCAAATCGATTTGTATCGTTGCATGTCAATGCAGTACCATGTCCAAGTCGAAAAACGTCACGTGGATGCATAACAATAATATTATAGCCAAGACTAGCCGGTTGTGGACAAGTCGTATCTATAATTGAATACATTTCACTTATTTATGATTATCATATATTCAAGTATAGAATAGACCGTTACCTACACATTGAAACTTTAGCTGTTGCCATTTACCATCTTTGCATTCAATGAATGAATCACCATGTGGCGTATACCCCTTATTACAGGCATACTGGACCAGATTCGATGTTAGACTAATTTGAGCAGCATTTGGCACAGAAGGAGGAACACCGCAGGATAATGCTTTGCATGAATTAACAGATAAAACAAATTTATAAAACAAGTTTTATTTACACTATTTTCTAACTAGAAATCTTATTGTAACGGCTTACGTTGACATTGGGGAACCTCCTCGGACCATGAACCATTGCTTAGACACGATTGATATTGTGAACCTTCGAGGACAAAACCTTTCTCGCATTCGCTTTTAATTTGTTGATATGGGTAGTAGACGTGTTGTACAGGTAGGATCCAACCATGCTGAAGTTTTTTTGGAGGCAAACATACTTCATCTATATGGAATTGATAAAATACATTAATATAAACAATCTACACTGTGAAATAATGTGACCTGTAATGCGTCTTTTTCAGATTGTGACGTGTCAAGGGAGACATTTGAAATACCGCGTTATCAATCTGCATGGACATATCTACAGGGGCAGTTCTATAAATGTCTTGTAAGACAATATATCGAAAATACTCTGAAATGTGTTCTGCCAATAAGTGCCTTACAACAGGACATATTGAATGTTCTCTGATCTATCTTTTCATTCACCTCTTTGTTCTATGATAGAGCTCAAAAGTTTACTTAGACAATCGATTTCGATGTCTTTGATGAAGGCTCGAAACTAAATGATTGAATGTCGTCGCAAGAGACAATATCTCCGTTGGATGATTGAGTAACTTGATTCCGAGCAACTTATACAGATCTGTGACTAGAAACTTGTCACATGATGAGTGGCCCATAAGAATGAGTCACTTTTCGTTTCTTTCTTGAGGAACTAAATTAAGTTTTAAGACTCCATTCTAAACTCACTCGATAGAGACTTTTTTGCTCTACAAAACTCTGTACATGCGATATCAACATATTGATTCTGTGTCTTATCTGATAAAATAGCGTTTAGTAGAAGCAGGTGAAAAGTAAAACTATAAAGCAATGAAGAGGTTGTATTTGTGTAAGCACTACATCTGACCAGTTTCTTCAACATGATATAGCAGGCTTCATACTATATCTATGTATGTTAAAAAATTGTCGTCATTTATTAACTTTTTGATACAAAAACATTTTTGTAAAATTTCCGTACCTGTATTGGATGGTTCGAAAATGATACGATTTAAAATCAATCGAAAAAGTCGCATTAATTTGCATAAAGATATTTTTCTAACCACAAATTTAGGCCGAAATATCAAAAATCGGACTCTATTAGCCCCTAGCCACATGCGTCAGGTTCAATTTAAGACCTTCCCGAACTCTTTGCGATGTTCGTTATTGAGAAATCTTGCAGCTACGAAATGGTGTTAAAATGAAAGTCGCTTTCGAGATATGGTGGCGCCATGGTGGATCTGTTTTTATACCGGAAAGTAAACTATTTTCTGCAAGTCAGTTTTTCAAGGTTTAGAAAACTTCTCTAAAAACTCCGTACCCCTTTAATAAGTGCCAAATAACATTGGATCGTGATAGTAGATATTGTAGGCTACCAGATGATGGGTTAAGCTCAATATCAACTTTTTATAAAAAATTATATATTTCTAACAGGACGGGAGGGGTGGCTTAAGAAAGCGCTAAATGATTTGTGCATGAAAAGTTTCGTATTATGTGTATTGATGTGAGAAAGCAGCCTAGCATAGAAGATAGCCTGGAATCCGCTGAACATTTTTTAAGCGTGGTCTTTGCTCAGTTTCAATACCATTCCCGACAAAAATTACTCAAAGGCTGGAAAACACCGACTTTCACTTAATGCTATAGGAGTTAGAAGCTAACAAAACTTTTCTTACCTGCTAAATGCACCACTAACGGATTTCTGATACTCGTCCTATATTGGATATGTAAGAGCGATATGCAAATCACGACCATCATCTTCATTTTGACCGTCAACTGCAATTTTACTTTTTAGCTGCTGTTACTAAATGGTATTTTAACAGACACAGGATCAGTATGTTGATATCGCACATACACCAAAGTTTTGTAGAGCAGAAAATTCTCTATCGAATGAGTTTAACACGATCTTAAAACTTTATTTTATTCCCTCAACAAAAAATATAAAAATGTCAGATTCGTCATGGACCCCTCATTAGTAGGAAGTGTCTAGTCACTCTGCTTGTTGTATGAAAAAGTAAGAAATACATCCTGATGTGCTTCTATTTTATCATAAATGGAAGGCAGGAAATGCACTAGATATGTGCAAGACACATTTGTATTCAGTGGATCAAAAGAACGTTTTCCCACGTAATCGAATACATGAAACAATGTGGCACACCTATAATATTTCAAGATTCTGTGCCTGAACCATCGTAGAAAATGTACATTTGCACATTTTTTTCTACAGTGTATGCAAACCTTTGCGAACACAGTAAACGTCCATCACGGGTTCCCAAAATCCATCGCTAACACAAATTCGTTCTTGTGGTCCAACCACCGAAAACCCGCTATCACATTCATAAATGAGTTTACTATAAAACGAATGACCGTGATAAATTATTTTGCCGTGATTTGGAGGACTTAATATCGGGCATAAATATTTTTCAGCTATTATACCTGAAACGATACAAGTATAAACATAACTTCATGATTAGGCTGAGAAACAAACCTTTATTTATACAAGAATATCCACAATTGTAATCACATACACAGATTCTATTTGGACCACGGCAATTTTCATCGGTTTCACACGGTTTAACACAATTGCGGTGAACATTTTTTTGCCGTACACATGTTTTTAGATCAGTGTTTGATGTTGTTGAACTTTGTTCATAAAAATCGTAAATACTTTTCGTACTAGTATAATATTCATAATTTTCTCTCGATTTTGTAGTCAAACGATGTCTGTAATGCTCCGGCGTGGTTCGAACTTGTTGCTCTAAGTTTAAGTTGTTAGCTTAAACAGTTCATTAATTAAAACAGAATACTTTAAGCACATATTGTAGTTATTACAACACAAACTTAGGAACCAAATCAAAGTGTTTTGATGGTTTAACTTTCAGAATGATATAATGGGAATTTATATTATCGATTTCGTTCTGGTTCAAGATTAAAGCTTAAACCAAATCAAAATCTTCTGCTTTTCAGTTGAGACTTTTATTTGACAACTCATTTTATTATTGAACATACTGATACAATCTGACATATGATGGCAGTTGGGCGTCTATTTTCAGTAATGAAATTCTCTTTAATACTTCATCGAACGTCATCTTTCATTTAGATCTTCGAATGATTAACAGATGATGGGTCCAATGAAACTTGTAACCAAGATCTTGCAAGAGACATATTCGCGTTATATGCAAAATATGAATGTAAAACAAAACAGTAGTGAAAGAATTGCAAGACTTTGATGACAAAAAATAAGTTTCAATAGAAAAGACAGCTTTTAGTTTCAATCGCTATGACATAGACAAATATCTTGTCAGAACATGTTTTCAAATTAAAATAAACACGCATAGAGTGGTAGATATACTAATAATTAGAAAAATTTCATTTTTCCATCAATCTTTATGATCTGTTACTATCAACAGTCTAAATCTCGAAAATACACCTACGTTCTCTTTGAAATAGATTAGGCGTATTTAACTTACGAGAGGTTATTACGATATCGCTATTATCAAAAAAATGTATAGTATTCCTATATTCTCATTTCGTTAACGATGTAACGTTTACTTACTGCTATAGGAGTTAGAAGCTAACAAAACTTTTCTTACCTGCTAAATGCACCACTAACGGATTTCTGATACTCGTCCCATATTGCATATGTAAGAGCAATATAAAAATCACGGCTATCGTCTTCATTTAATCAACATGAACAACGAAATATGAGTTCTACTTGAAACAAAATTATTATTATCATGATCAATAATTTGTCATCCGTTCATTAGGACAAAGAATTGTCTCTTTTGTGTTTTCTTTTCCTTTTTTATTCTTTCTTCTCTTCCTACAATGAATGATTAAATGCGCAACGTTCAGTTTAACAGAAAGAAGAATTTCTGCGTTTTTGATTGATTTTATTTTCTACACATGGATGAATATATATATTTCTGTTTGTCAAACCCAAAATCTAGTTCACCAGATGTTTCAAGCCAATGAAAACAACAACAAATTAAGATCTATTTTCTTAAAGCTGAATTATGATCTTTTGTTGATATTATCACTATCTGATTAGGTTGAGGCAAAACAAAATCACAGAAAAATAAAACGTATATTGTCAATGGTACCAGCGAACATATTATGTATTATGTATATATATATAGGCATGAAACAGACAAGTGAAATATATCAAGGTTTAGAAATGCTTATTTTTTCATCTCAGCAAATTCCCTGTACAATATCGTATGTGACTGAAACTTAGCAAAAGATGTTCTAACGTCTTTTTTTGGCTTCTAGAAAAAAAAATAGTGGCGAAAAAAATCGGTTCTGTATAATTTATTTACAAAATCAACAAAAATATGCACTAGCCGGGAATCGAACCCGGGTCGCCCGCGTGGCAGGCGAGCATTCTACCACTGAACCACCAGTGCGAAAGTATTTTGTTCCCTTCCCTTTGTCACTCGTAAAATACTTCAATTCTTTGGGGTAAAGAGCATGCTGCCTTTCGATAAATTATCTTACTGCTAATATTGGGAAAACATTTAAAAAAGGAACGTTTTGATGCCTTAAAGTGACATTTTTTATTGTCTAGAAACTGTTTACTATAAAAAACAAGCATTTAAGAGCCATCAAAGATAAGCCACGACCTAACGTGCTCAATCGACCATCTCCGATTTCTTCCATAGTAAGGGCTTTTATTAGAGCAAACAGTTTTATGACTTTTGGCGAAAATCGCAGATTCTAAAGTCGTTGCGTTGCTGAGATATTCAATTTTTGCAAAGAGCCCGAAAACGCGCAAATTCCGGCATCTAAGGAAACTGTCAATATAAACTATGTACAACTCCATAACGACACATTACTTAGACTTAAGAATTCTATCATAACTACTAGATAGTGTCTACTACAAATTCACACAACCGCGAGCTCTAGACATGCTTTCGGTCTTTTACAGTAGATGATGCCGTGAGAGCCCAACCATCGATCCGGTCATTTTGGAAAAAGATTTTCTCTCGCAAAAACCGGGCAAATTTCTCGCCCCCTACGATATTGTTAGAGTACACCAAGTGTACTATCATGAACCATGGTGGGATTTTTGGAATCTTTTAAAATACCTGGAAAACCAGATGAGGTTTCTAGAAAACCAAACCATGAAATTTTAGAATTTTAGAAAAGTCATGAAACTGTTTGCTCTAAAAAAAGCCTTTACTATGGAAGAAATCGGAGATGGTCGATTGAGCACGTTAGGTCGTGGCTTATCTTTAATGGCTCTTAATTATTTTAATGCATTTATAATGTATTTTTAACGTTATTATTACTTGTTTAACGGCTGTTTTGTTGACATTTTCTTAAACTGATTTTTCATCTCCAAAAAATTCTTTTCAAATTTTGGACACTTTTGGTTAATTATGTTCACGGTGGTATCACTAGCACGCTTGCATCGTACTCGTCCTCCTTTCCTCATTTTTCCTCCTAAATTAAATTTTCTCCTTCTTCTGATATAAGCTGTATTCCGAAAGAACAAAACTTATATCAAAAGGAGAGGAAAATTTAATTTAGGAGGAAAATGAGGAAAGGAGGACGAGTACGATGCAGGCTAGCACTGGATATAGGACCACTATGAGTACCACTATAGAAAAAGTTGTATGTTCTTCCAAAACCACTGTTTCATATATAAT